TCTGCTGTGCAGAGTGACTGTCGGGTGCCGTTGCAAGGGGTGCTTTTTGGTTGTAATGTTAAAGGTGTAATGGGAAGATGTTTGAGGGAGGAGCCCCGCCGTGAGGGAGAGGCGAAAGGAAGAGCCTATGAGACATTGCCAACTGAGATGGTAACGGATTTGTATTTTCCCCTTGTGCTGGGTTTAGGACCAAGGGAAAAGAAGTCACGCGTCAGAGTCTCAAGCCCCCATGCGATGGAAAGCGAGCCAGAGCGACGAGACCGCGAGCATTGTTGATGCCAGGCAAGAGTCGTCTGTCTGGGATGCGAGCACACGCCACTCTCAGTGAGATAAGTGTCTGGTTTGGTGATTGTTGAGCTCACGGCCCACCTTGCTCCTGCTAGGGACGCCACGTAGGCTGGGGTTGGGTTTGTAAGTAATGGTTCCTGACCAGCTGTGCTTAGGAGAGAGACAAGGTCCCCATTTTCAGGGTCTGCTCATTTCTCTGGCCAGGAGCGGTTTCTCTTCCGCAGCAGAAGGTTGCATCTAGGAGGATGACTCCAGGTGGTGAGTTGCTTGCTTTCCTCCCATGTTTTTCTCTCTCTCTCTTCTCTAGTACGTTGGCCAACACACACCCTCTCTCTCTCTGTCTGTCCTTGCCTTTCCTTGTGCTGTCTCCCTTCAGAAGATATGGGCAAGCGTGCTAGGTGTGCATCCCCAGAGGCCAGGTCTCGGGAGCCATGGAGAAGTAGGAGAGGACGAAAAGCATGCGGGGCAGTGGGTGCTAAAGTGGATCTGTGACTGTCTTTACTGGGTCTCTGTTCATCGTGTGGAGCTGATGTAGATGGGACTGGAGAGGGAGGCAGGGATGAGGGCACGATTTGAAGCACCAATAGAGGTTTGTGTAGTGTTGGCTCATGCTTGGCTTTTGCAGCTGCGCTTCCAGAGGAATTTTCCAGGAGCCCTATCTTGAGGAGAAACTGGGAGAAGTGGACATGAGCAGACTGGTCATCCTTGTCAGCAGACATGAACAGTCCTCAGCTTTCTGACTCCCGCATAACTGGCTGTGAATAAGCGGTCAGTGCTTTCAATTGCTCATCTGTGCTCACTGTAGTATTCTTCACAGGCCGTGTGCTTCCTCGTTGGGTAGGGGGCTCTGTGAGATTACGGCTGGGGAGGGGCCAGAGTCTGCTGTGCAGAGTGATTATTTCGGGTGCCGTTGCAAGGGGTGCGTTTTAGTTGTAGTGCTAAAGGTGTAATGGGGGAGAGGGTTTGGGGTGGAGCACCACCGTGTAGGAGAGGCGAAAAGAATAGCCTACGGGACGCTGCTCACTGAGATAGTAACTTCATTGTTTTTCCTCCTTGTGCAGGGTTTAGTACCGAGGGAAAAGAAATCAAATGTCAGAGTTTACTCCCCTCGTCGGATGGAAAGCGAGCAAGAGCAGTGAGCCTGCGAGCATTGTTGATGCAAGTCAGGAGCCGTCCAGTTGGCAGTGGAGCAGTCGCTACTGTCAGTGAGATAAGTGTCTGGTTTGGTGAGGGCTCTGCGTAGGGCCCCCCTGGCTCCAGGTAGGGACGCCCCGTTAACTGGGGCTGGGTTTGTAAGAAATGGTTCCTGACCAGCTGTGGTTATGAGAGAGACAAGGTCCCCATTTTCAGGGACTGCTCATTTCTCTGGCCAGATATGGTGCGTCCTCGGCAGGGGAAGGTTGCATCCAGGAGGATGAGTCCAGGTGGTGAGTTGCTTGCCTTCCTCCTATGTCTTTCTATCTGTCTCTCTCTCTTCTCTAGTACGTTGGCCAACACACACCCTCTATCTCTCTGTGTCTGTCCTTGCCTTTCCTTGTTCTGCCTCCCTTCGTAGGACACAGGCAGGTGTGCATTCCCAGAGGCCAGGTCTCGGGAGCCATGGAGAAGTTGGAGCGGACAAAAAGCATGCGGGGCAGTGGGCGCTAAAGTGGAGCTGTGACTGTCTGTGTTTACTCGGTCTCTGTTCATCCAGTGTGGCTGATGTAGATGGGACTGGAGAGGGAGACAGGGATGAGGGCACGATTCAACGCACCAGTAGAGCTCTGTGTAGTGATAGTTCTTGCTTGGCTTTATTAGTTTGCGGAGGAATCGTCCAGGAGCCTTAGGTGGACAAGAATATGGCAGAAGTGGACCTGAGCAGCCTGACATCCTTCTAAGGAGACATGAATAGTCCTCATGTTTCTGCCTTCTGCATCTCTGGTTGTGAGTAAGCAGTCAGTGCTTTGAATTCCTCATCTGTGCTCACTGTAGTATTCTTCACAGGCCGTGTGCTTCCTCGTTGGGTACGGGACTCTGTGAGATTACGGCTGGGGAGGGGCCAGAGTCTGCTGTGCAGAGTGATTATTTCGGGTGCTGTTGCAAGGGGTGCTTTTTGGTTGTAATGCTAAAGGTGGAATGGAGAGGGTTGAGGGCGGAGGACTGCCCTGTCACCATTTGCTACACCCACAATTTCCCATTCCTGGGTCTATGGGAAAGGGAGTTGTGACAGATGGGTTGGACTTTGTCAGAGTTTCAATCAGTGTTCCCTCTAATTTTTCCCACTCGTGTGGAAGGAATTTTGTTACGTGCACCAATATGGAGGTGATGTCACACATTACCTCCATATTGGTGCACGTAACAAAATTCATGTGGCGGGTGTGGGGCCGAGGCGTTCGGAGTGTGGGACGGGGCTCAGGGCTGGGGCAGAGTGTTGAGGTGCGGGGGGGTGAGGGCTCCATCTAGGGTGTGGTCTCAGGGCTGGGGATGAGGGGTTTGGAGTCCACGCTGCCCTGGGACTACAGGAATGGGGGGAGAGGACTCCCCGCAGCTCTCTCTCCCCGCAGCAGCACCTGGGCTGGGGGGAGAGGCACCTCTCCCTAATGCGGCAGCTCCAGGGCTGGGGCCACAGGATAGGTGCCTCTTCCCCGGCCGCAGCAGGTCCGGGGCTGGGGGAGAGGCATGTCTCCGCGCCACAGCCCTGAGTGCCTGCACAGTGCTTAATATGCTGCTGCGCAGCTTAGAGGTAACTTAGGTTTCAACTTGTGTGAAATCACTATTTTAATACATTTTTTTTCTAAATTAGCAAAATCTTGTTTTACTTGTGTGTAAATTTTAAAAAGAGATTTCACAGGAGCAACGGCTGTCCACTGCTCCCTTGGTCTAGAGGTAGCCATTCCGGCCAACCAGCAATTCAAGCACCAGTGAAGTCATGTGATCATAAAAATAGACTTGATAATGTTTTATTTTTTAATAATGTATTAAATATGGTAAATGAGAGTCACAATAAAACCCTAGGAAGTGTTAAAAGAAGATATGAAGGTTTCTTGAAAAGTAAAGAATTAAAAGGTATGAAACTCCGTTTCCTGGAGGTAATGGGAAAGGGTGGCCAGTTCAGGGAATCGGAACAGCTGAGCAGACCAATTTGTGAACATCTCTGTGCAGATGTCACTTGTATGTAAACACCCGAATGAAGACTGTGAGTATTTAAAGAGCAGGGTGTATGGGGGGGAGAGGGAAGGTGTCAGAAACTCACTACATCATTTCAGAGAGGGAAGAGCAGCCTTGTCTAGACCTTCCCCGCCCCCCCCCCCTTCCTTTTGCCCCTGTTACTGTACATGGTCAGCTTGCTCCAGCATCATCAACAGCAAAGTAACAGATTCTGCTGGGGAATGTTTTATAACACTACAAGAGCTGGGGGGGGGGCTCTTGCTGTGGCCCCGGTATGATGTTCCAGGCTGTAATCCTGACCAGTGTGGGGCTATGTCACCTGACCTGCAACGGGGGGTGGGGTGGGGTGCCTCACCGTGCTTCTCTGTTATAGCTCTGACTTGGGTAGCTCACAAACAGCCTGTCAGCGTGATGCTCCCCCCCTTCCCCCCCCCAAGTGTCTGTACACGGCTACCACTCTGATCCCAGAGCTTGTCAGCACTCCAGTCACACTTTGGCTTCCATCAGACCTGGGCTACCACATGCAGGGTGACCCCAACACACTCCCTGTCCTGAATTTTACCCCAAAAACGTGTTGTGCACTGTCCAGCCCTCTCCTGGACAGGCCAGATAGATTAGGTCTGTTGTACCTCTAGGAGGTCAATATACAAAAATCTGCCACCTTGTGGATAATTCCATTTACAGTTCACAACACTGGATTAGTTTTGGTTCAAGAATAAAACAAGTTTATTTAACTACATAGAGAGGTTTTAAGTGAACAAAAGTAATAAGGCATTAAAGAAGAAATGGTTACAAGAAAAAATAAAGATAAAATGCTTTCTAACCTTAACAAACTAGGCTTGTGAAGTCCCTTCCCACAGGTTCCAGTAATATTGCTGCCCAAACTCTCAGGCCAGCATCTGCTTCCAGGGTCCAGCAGCTGTTTCTCTGATCATCTTAGGTGAAAGGGAGACGGGGAGGGAGAGAGAACTTGGGTGTTTTTGCCCTTCACTTTTATAGCTCGGTCACCATTTGAAAAACATTTTCCTGAGTGTTCACCTTAGGGAAAGTTCTTTCTTGCTGAGAGCAAGGAGAGATGGAGTTTGGTGGAAGAAGGAGGCTTTGTGCTGTTTCTGTTCATCTGTGTATACTGCTTCTTTCTTCCCCCTCTTGTCCTGTGGAATCTGTTTACAGCTGAAATGCAAACTGAGGCAAACGCACATCCCTTTCTTTAGGACAGGTGTGCTTGACCAGTTCCATCTAATCAGGCTATGTGAATTGGAACTTGTGCTTTTAATACCCTATAGGTGGAATTTCATAACTTTACACAGACTGTTGCTACAGCCATTTCACCAAAATAGTATTGATCACTGAGTTTCAAATGCTACCTCACAAGGCATATTTTGTCCAAAGATTGTTACAATACTGTGTAGGGTGTGAATACAGGGGTGCATTTGGTCACAGTGGGCTGGGAATTATCCATTTGTGGAGGGCTCTCTAACATTACCCTTTCCTGGAAATTGCCAGACAATGAAGGGAAGTGGAGAATTCTTGCTCCAATCCCGAATTGCTGGAAATCCCAGGCTCGCTGGAGCTGGTTTGATTTCCCAGTGGAGTCAGTTTTTCTCCCTGGTGGATTATGATTTTCCCCATTGTAGTTAGTTGCAATTTATCTACTTCCCCACAGCCCCTCACTAGGTTCTCTGGGCGTCATCTCATTGCTTCTCATTTAAGCTGCTGCCCTTTGGGTCTGTATGTTCTGGGGTATTTGCTGTCATGAGTGACTGCGCCGCCTTGGGCAGGTGCTGGGCAAGGTGGGGGTTGTAAATTTCTGATGAACGCTTTGTGTTAAATAAAATTACCCTGTGACAAACAGTGGCATTGGGCTCTTTTCTTAAAGTGTGAAATAGCAACCACGAGTCACTGCCCAAATGCGGGGGAGGGGGATGGATGGACACACATGGCACTGTCCCACCTGCGACACCCCAGCACCTTGCGTCCCCAAATCCTTGTACCTGCCATCACTCATTAACAGTGCCTCCCTCCACTCCTTACAGCAATCCAAGCTGCAGAAAGTTGACGTGCTGGAGATCACGGTGTAGCACATGGAGAGCCTGCAACAGAGCAAGACCCTGGGTAAAGACTCCCTGGCACCCTGTAGTCTCCCATGGGTTGGGGAGGATCCATCTCGGGGGAGGGTCTGTCTGCCCCAATGCAACCCAGAGGGAGGGTCCACACCTCCTATCAGGCTCAGTGGGATGCACTCTCTTGCCCCCCGTGGTCTCGTATGGGTCATATAGGATCTGTCTGCCCCAGGGATGATCCATGCCATGCTGAGGAGAGTTCATGCTGCCTGCCAGGCTCAAGGTGTCACTCCTCCTCCTCTTCATGGGGACTTTGGGGAGATCCTTGTTGCTGTAACGGGATCACAGAGCACGAGTGGTTGGTGGAGTATCTTCGGGGCTATGGGGTCTGGGCCCGAGAGGTGTGAACTCAGAGTCATGGCTTCGGGCTCAAGAGAAAAGGGGCTGAGACTAGAGATGCCCAGAGATGCACTATCACCCTACAGCTCCACTACTGCAGCACCCAAAAGCGTCACTCAGATCCGGGCCTCATTGTGTTGGGTGCTGCATGGAAAATCAGAGAGAAACAGATGTCTGGAGATGGATAGATGAGCGTCTCTGGCATACAGAGGAGGGGTGGAGAGGTGTGTGTGTGGCACATGGAGGACAGATGGTGATGCTGCAGGCTGACAGGTTTGTGGGTTTGGCTGGTGGCTGATTGCCACAGCAGCTCCTGGCTCCCCATTTGCTGTGCTGTTTTTGATGCTGACCCATCTCTTGCAGCCACCACCAAGCAGAGCCTGGCCACAGAGCAGTGCTACAGCAGGTGCATGGACCAGCTGCACACTGTGCTCCTCAGCTGCTCAGGGACGGACAAGCACGTGGGTTCCTGGCTGCTGAACAACCTGCCCCAGATCTCACCCTCTCCTGCACCCAGAGTAGCCTGCTCATCATAGAGACCAAGACCAGCCCCCAGCTGCCCTGGCAGTCACTGACCCGAAGGTGGAGAGCCTGATGTCTGGTGAGGGGAAACAGCCCAGTATCTCCTCTGTAGTGTCAGGACGTACTATTACAAATTGCTCCCTGCCCCAATTTCCTACCAGTTGCAGTTCCTGACATCTACATAGCACGTTTTTGCCAGCCCTGGGTCTAGGAGTAGCGATTTGTGGCAGATGGGGTATGCATTGTCACAGTGTGCTACTTCTGGGAAATCTGTTTGAAATTGGGACACATTAAATGAGTTTTCTAACAATACATTTTTCTAAGTGAGAAAACATTTGTTTTATTGAGATCCAAATTTAATATTGAGATTTCATGGGGTAGGAAACTGTGACAGGGCAGACAGCATCCATCACAAATTGCTACTTTTGGAGCAGGGCTGAGACAACCAAGGAAATCCGACAGCATTCAAGTGATATGATCACAAATAATAGCCTGACATTAAAAAACAAAAAAAACCATGAGTATTAAAACCTGTAATTTACTATTTCACAATAAAAATATAGGTGGTGGTATAATAATGAAACTAATGTTTTTGAAAAGTTAATAAAAGGAATTAAACTATATTTACAGGAAATTGATACAGAATGGTCAATTCAAACAATTAGAAGAGCAAAAAAGACAAAGCCTGAGCCCTCACCTGCTAACCCTAATCCCAAACCCTAACTCCTGTTCCCCAGTACTCTAACCCAACTCCTCCCCCTAACCTTTGACCCTATCCCACACCACAATCCAACCCTAAACCCTGAACCCTCCCTTCACCCTAGGCAACCCAACCCTGACCCCTGCACCCTAACCCTTCAACTAACCCTGATCATTACCCTATTATATCATAACCCCCACCCTGACCATAACCCTAACCCCTTAACTCTAACTCACCTTTGAACCCAAACTCTTACCCAACCTAAAGCTCATCCTAACCCTCGCATTAAACACAACCCTCTAACCCTCAACCCTGCCTCCCAGAACCTACCCCTCCCCTCCCCTAATCTAACTCTCCCCAGGGCTGCCTAGTGGATTCAGGGGGCCTGGGGAAAAGCAATTTCGGGGGCCCCTTCCATAAAAAAAAGTTGCAGTACTATATTCTCGTGGGGGCCCCTGCGAGGCCTGGGGCAAATTGCCCCACTTGCCCCCCCCCGGGCAGCCCTGACTCTCCCTCTCAACCCCTAGCCCTTTCCAAACCTAATCCACACCCTAAACATAACTCCCCCTTACCCTAATCCAACCCCTAGACCCTGACCCTGTAATCCAAACCCTAAACCCTTAAACCCCAATTTCCCCCCTCCATGGGTGGCACCATCCTCTTCCCCGTGGGGGGGCTGAGGTAGGCTAGACAGAAACTTGGGGGGCTGCACCCCCCCGGTACAGGGCCCCACCCATCTCTATGGCTCTGCTCCTCTTAAGTGCCAGCCCTGCCTCCTGCCTCCATTGCCTCCCTCCTGGCCAGGTTGGCGGCTGGAGCCGGCCAGTGGGGGGTGACTGATGCGCTGGCTGTGCCGTGGTATGGGCAGCTGGGGTGCTCCCCTGTCTCCTTCTCCTGCTGCTGCTCTTGGCCCTGGGGATGCGGCTGCCCCTCAGCTTCCCGCCGCCCTTCGACTGCTTGCAGCCCCCAAAAGCCACCCGGGTGGGGGGACCTGGCTCTTGCAGAGCCCTCAGGGAGCATCAACCACGGGCGGCAGGCCCAGGAGCCTGGGGCAGAGTGGGTCTGTTTGGGTTGCTGTGGGGCACCCTGAACCCTCTGCCTGCTCTGGGCAGCGCATAGTTAAGTGAGGACTTCTGTGCTGCTGCTGCCACTGTCATCAGAGCTGGGCGGCCAGAGAGCTAGCCATGTTGGCTAATGAAAAGTGTGTCTCTCCCATGGAGGAGCAGTGACACCCGGCGGCCAGTTGGGGTAATGCACAGAGTGTGTTTCCGTTGCAGCGACAGTGACACCCGGTGGTCAGTCAGGGTAATGCACAGAAGATGTTCCATTGGACCCGCAGTGACACCTAGTGGCCAGTCGGGATGATGCACAGACAGTGGTTCCCTTGGAGCACTGACACCCAGTGGTCAGGCAGGGTATTCCACAGAGTCTGTTTCCCATGGAGCAGCAGTGACACCCAGTGGTCAATCGGGGTAATGCACAGAGCATGTTTCCATTGGCACAGGAATGACACCCGATGGCCAGTCAGGGAAATGCACAGAATGTGTTTCTCTTGGAGCAGCAGTGACACCCGGTGGCCAGTCAGGGAAA